CAACAGTGCTGACTCTGAGGGATTATATTTTGACTTGCCAGATGTTATTTTCTCCTTAATAATAGATTCTAACAAATTCCAAATGACACACGTTAAACTGTCTGCAGTTTCCTGCTTTCAGCCTCCCTCCCTTTTGAGTAAGGATGTTATATTAGATTTTTCCAATCCACTGGAACCTTTCCTGCATCCAGGGAATTTTGGAATATTATAACGAAAGGATCCATCATCATTGTTGCCACTTCCTGGGGACTTGTCTGCTGACACATGATGCCTGCACTCCCAAAACTCAGTACTTTTACCTCCAGTAATGATAATAGTTCTAAGTTCCTCCCTTTCTATGACCCCTGCATTATCTGTTACTTTTGGGACGGTACTAGTGTCCTCCACCGTGAAAACTGAAACAAAATACTGATTTACTGACTCCAGCATTTCTGTGTTCCCCGCTATTAACTCCCCAGCCTCATCCTCCAAGGAGCCAATATTCAAAGCAATTACCAGCCAGCTTTTGCCCATATTTAGCCATAATGAGGAGCTGAGTGATCTTGCAGCATGCAGACTTAGCGTCAGTGAACAGGCTATTGTTGAGTTGTTGCTTGTTAGAAGCCTGATGGCACTGTTGAAGAACCTATCCGTCATTTTACTGATGATGGAGAGCAGACCAATGAGGTGGTAATTGGATTTGTCCTGCTTTTTGTGCACAGGAGATATCTGGACAATATTGCACATTGTTGGGTAGATGCCAGTGTTGCAGGGCTGGAACAGTTTGGCGATGATGCAGCAAGTTCTGCAGCACATGTCTTCAGTACTGTGTTGGCAGGACCTATAGCTGAACGTTTCCACACTAGAATTGCCCTCTTATCATTGCAGAGCTACCTATATCCAGAGGTTTCGCAGAGCTGCACAATATGAGTGGGCTGAAATGACACTGAAGTTAACAGAAAATTGTTGCCTTCTGCTGACTCTGAAATCTTGTAGTTACTTCAAAATCCAATCTGGAATGCTTTCCACAAAGTGCTGCAGTGGTGCATTCATATACGTAAAGCACAGCCACCACCACAGAAATTGTTGGCCCAGTCTTTACATTAATCGGTCTGAAAGCTTTGATCGTGTGTTTTTAACAGGGGTTTGACTGGCAGTAAGGATCAGAGCCAGTGACTGGCAGAGGCTCACAGCTGCAGTTAGAATGCAGAAGGAGAATTATGTTCTGAGATCCCACTGCATCTCAGTTACAGATTTCACCCAGATACTCCGTCCCTCACTCTCTCCTCTCCTTATCAAAACCTCCTTTGAAAAAATGTTTCAGGTGTATAGCTCTCTGGGCCACCATTTGTTACCTGTCCCTAACTGCCCTCAAACTGTTAGCCCATTTCAGAGGGCAGTTAAAACTCACACACATGTTGCTGTGTGTCTGGAGTCATACGAACATTAATGAGCCAGATGGGTTTTTACAGCAATTCTTACATGGTCTCTGTTAAACTAATTTGTAATTCCAAACTTTAATTAAAATGAGGTTTGGAACTTTCTTCCAAAAACAGCAGTTGAGGCTGATTCAGTTGTTAATTTTAAATCTGAGATAGATACATTTTTGTTAAGCAAAGGTATTAAAAGATATGGGCCAAAGGCAAGTATACAGAGTTAGGTCACAGATCACCCATGATCTCATTGAATGGCAGAATAGGCTGGAGGGGCTGAATGGCCTACTCCTGTTCCTATGTTCCTAAGTCAGGAGTGACTTGGAGGGGAAGCTGCAGGGGGTGATATCTGCAGCCCTTGTCCTTCAAGATGGGTATGGTCAAGAGTTGGGAAATGCTGTATGAGGATCTTTAGTGAATTCCTGCAGTGCATCTTTTCAATAGTACACATTGTTATTATGTGTTGTGCTTTCAGCTGCATGGACCCCAAGCTTTTAAATTTCATCCCGAAACTCTCCAAATCTCCCCTTCTCCCTCTCTTCCTTTCCAAAGCCCCTTAAAATATACTTCTTTAACAAACCATCTGAACGTTTATCTCCTTATGTGGCTCTGTGTGAACTTGTAAATTTTCTGTCACAGGGTGTAGCGTGGCTTTCTGGACCAGGGTTTATTGCCTGTGAAAGGGCTTTTCTCTTGAATTGTTGCTGTCCACCTGGGGCAGGGACGCCCACTGTGCTTTTTGCATGAATCTTGTGTTGTTTTACCAAGTGAAACATGCGAGATAAATGCAAGTCTTTCTGTGACATTGAGGGACAAGCATTGGCTGTGACATTTTTCAAAGTAGGAATTTTTTACACCCTCCTGAGAAAACAGATGGAGTCTCAGTTGAACACTGCACCTGGAAGGCAATAGCTCGGACAACACAGCTCTCCCTCAGTATTGCATGGAGCTGGGAGTCTACATTGTAGTCCTCTGTGAACCTGGCTGATTTCTGAGCTTGCAGTGAAAGAGCTACCACAGCACCATTGTGGAGTACTGTCCATTCAGAGGATCATATTAGAGAAGTATGAAACTATCAGATGGATAGTTACTAAAGCAGTGTCACACTGTCGTTCAGATGAGACATAGAACCTGGCTTTCTCTGTCTTTCTCAGGAGCTGCCATGTGTCCTGCGTGACAGTATGTTGAAGCTGAGTAACACAGTTTTCTGCACAGCTGTGTTCAAGAAACTTTCTGGAGATTGTTATGCAGTCACAGTGAGGGTTGATGAGGGTAATGCTCGTGATGTGGTTTATGTGGAAAATACTAGGGATCGTTTAGCACAGCTGGCTGGATGGCTGATTTGCAGTGCAGCGTGATGCTGACAGTGTGGGTTCAGTCCTCACACTGACTGAGGTTACCATGAAGGACTCTTCTTCTCAACCTTTCCCCTGACCTGAGGTGTGGTGACCCTCTGGTTAAACCATCACCAGTCATCTCTCTGTAATGGGGCAGCAGCAAAAGCAAGGGATGATGCTCAACTGGTTTGAAATGCCAGTGCAGTGTTAACTGGAGATTTGTGTTCAGTCCTTTGCATCACATTTCATGAAGGATAGGCAGCACTAGAGAGGGTGCAGTAAAGATTCTCAAGACTGGTCCCAGAGATCAGGAAATACTGTGGTGAAGAAAGATTAGAGAAGTTGGGACTGCCCTCCCAATTGATTGAGATTGACTGGTCAGGTAGAAACTGTTTCCATCAATGGAAGGATTGAGAACCAGAGGGCACTGACCTATGGTAATTGGCAAAGGAAAGCAGGGCAGGAGGGATTAGACAAAGGAGCAGAATTATGCCATTCAGCCCAACAAATTTGCTGTGCCATGCAGTCATGGCTGGTGTGTTACTCAATCCTATTCTCCTGCCTTCTCCCTGATTGCCTTCCCAATCAGTAACCTATCTATATGAGGCGATAAATCTCTTAGGATCAGGAATGCATTGAGTGTGGTGAAGACATTTTTGATCATTGTCACTGAACTAGTAATTCCAGAGACCAGATTCACATTTTTTCAAAGTTGAGGTTAGTCATCTCAGCTCCAGGACATCTCTGCAGGAGTTCCTCAGGGTGGTGCCTTAGGCCCAACCATCTTCAGCTGCTTCATCAATGACCTTCTCTCCATCATTAGGTCAGAACTGGGGATGTTCGCCAATGATTGCACAGTGTTCAGCACCATTCGTGACTTCTCAGATACTGAAGCAGTCCATGTTCACATGCAACAAGATCTGGACAATATCCAGGCTTGGGCTGACAAATGGCAAGGATTGTTTGCGCTGCACAATGACCATGTCCAATAAGAAACAATCTAACCACTGCCCCTTGACATTCAATGGCAATACAATTACTGAATCTCCCACTATCAACATCCTGGGGGTTACCATTGACCAGAAAATCAAGTGGCCTCACCATTTAAACACAGTGACCACAGGAACAGGCCAGGGGCTGAGCATCCAGCAGCAAGTAACTCACCTCCTGAACCCTCCAAAGCCTGTCCTCCATCTACAAGGCACAAGTCAGGAGTGTGATGGAATACTCCCCACTTGCCTGGATGAGTGCAGCCCCAACAACACTCAAGAAGCTTGACACCATCCAGGATAAAGCAACTCACTTGATTGACACCACATCCATAAACATCCACTCCCTCCAGCACCGACGCTCAGTAACAGCAGTGTGTACAATCTACAAGATGCACTGCAGTAATTCACCAAAGATCCTCAGACAGCATCTTCCAAACCCACGACCACTTCCATCTAGAAGGACAAGGGCAGCAGGTACATGGGAACAACACCATCTCCACGTTCCCCTCCAAGCCACTCACCATCCTGACTTGGAATTACATCAGCATTCCTTCACTGTTGCTGTATGATTTGATCTGAGTCTGTTTGAGTTTTGGATAACCTTTAGAATGTACTGAGATTGTGAAGGCTGCTTCCTTTTCTGAAGTCAGTTCTCCTCGATTGGATGAATATACATTGGATTGGTGTACTTTGGTTAAAACAGATTTTCCAGCAAAAACACTGCACCATTTGGCTGTGTTCCCCCATATATGTTCATCATAGAATCCCCACAGTGTGGAAACAGGCCCTTTGCCCCCACAAGTCCACACCAACCCTCAGAGGATCCCACCCAGACCCATCCCCCTAATCTACACCTCCCTGAACACTACAGGCAATTTAGCATGGCCAATCCACCCTAACTGGCACATCTTTGGACTGTGGGAGAAAACCAGAGCACCCAGAGGAAACCCATGCAGACACGGGGAGAATGTGCAAACTTCACACAGACAGTCGCCTGAGGGTGGAATCGAACCTGGGTCCCTGGTGCTGTGAGGTGGCAGTGCTAACCACTGAGCCACCATGCCTCCCCGAAGTGTTCCTTCCCATGCTCCATCATCTCACCCTGTCAGAATGATCTACTCTTATGTGGGTGTCCAAGTTCCTTGTCAATGGGTTAATTGTTAGCCTGGGTGAGCCAGCAGCTCCAGTTTACATCAGTGGGTATACACATATACCTGCTGTTCATATTGACTTATGATAATCTTCTGTTTGGTTTTCAGTTGCCCTTTATAGAGAGCCATCACTACACGAGTTGGCGGAGGTTCTGTCTCGATCTGGAACACCCACCAAGAGTCGAAGTGCCTCTGCAGTGCTAAACGGGGGCAAGACGGTGAGTCAGACTGAATCAACGTAGCTACCTGGAGGCCCGGCCCTATCCAGACAAACCACGTTACAGATGCTGACAACATATCACTAGCAGACAGTCTCTTTCTGTTGTAAAATGATTCAGGAAACAAGCTACTACTGAGCTGGGTAAAGTTGCACTCCTATCAGCCTCTTAGGTCCTTCTGATTTTTCTGTCAGTGGATAAATTTTAGCCAAGAAAATGCTTGTGCATCTCACCAAACACCGGGACGGCCGATCGACCATCATTTTTGGGATGTGGCGCAACCGAAGAAATGTCATTTTATCCCATCACCAGATCCGCCTCCGGGAAACGAATCATAGTAAAATTCACAATCTGTTCGCAAGCTGAAAACAAGTTCCAGCTCAGCAGTGAACACACAGGCACACAGATACAGATACACACAAAACAAAGCAGACCATATTTACTCCTGCCAGAGGAATGTAGCCACCTTTGGGTTTTACTGAAGGAACGAGGAACACATTAAACAGTAAATGCATCTCGTTCTTGGCTCAGTGCTGTTCAGTCCCATCAGATACACTTGTACCCGGTTTCTTTTCTTTAGTCTGACAATAGTGTTTTGCAGTACTGCAGTTCTACAGCTTTTTTTATACTCCAACCAACAGTGATAGGATTACTTTCAAAAATTAGTCAGGGTTGCGAAAATAAAATAAATGAACAGAATTAAGTCAGTGTCTCAGGCAATGTAGTTAAAAGTGTAACTTAGAGCAATCTTGTGGACAAGGGTTTCTAGTCTGTAGTAATAATAACCTTCTAGTGAAACTCCTAGAGTGCAGAAATCCCATCCATTAGCAAAACGCACCTTCATAACTCGTTCTCACCTTAGGCATTTGCACATTGACCTTGTTGTGGTGGTTTTTACTCTTGAACAAACTGTGGGGTTTTGGGGTGACTTCATTTTTATAACAATATGGAAAGTCTTATTTGTAACAGTCTGCCACTGCCTCTGTTCATGTACTGGGCAATGGTGGCAGTTATTGTAACTGAGCTTCCTTTTGGGTAGTTTATCCTCAGCTCATCCCAGTACACACTACACAGAGGTTCTTATTATTCTGTCAATTAGTTTAGACTTTTATTTTAATTTCTCTGTTGCATGGGAGAAAGCTGGTAATAATGGAATAGAGTTGCATGATGTAGGATCTGTATTTTAAACATGTTGGAAAATGTGCTCCGAACATTACATGGGTTATCAAGTACATGCAGTTTTCCTGCTTCTGTACTGGTCAGATGTTTATTATTTGTTGTGTACACCAACAGATGCACTGAATAAAACATTTCTATGAAGATCTGTTTTCAATGTGTCTTCATTTATGTGTGTCTTTATACTTATATAAATATGTGTGTGTGTGTGCGTGTGAGTGTGCGCGCGTGCGTGTGTGTGTACGCGTGTGTGTGCGCGTGTGTGTGTGTGTGCACATGTGTGAGTGTGCGTGTGTGTGTGTAGATTTGTGCATTTGCAATTAGGTTCTTGTTAAGTAAAGGAGTGGGTGAAAGGCTGTCAGAGGTTGATGGGAATATGGATTTGAGGTTACAATCAGATCAACCAGAATTTTATTGAATGGTGAAGCAGTGGGGAGAGGTTGAACAGGTTGGGGCTATTTTCTGAGATAACAAGGTGTAGAGCTGGATGAACACAGCAGGCCAAGCAGCATCAGAGGAGCAGGAAGGCTGAC